AGGAGGGAAAGGCAGGGCTGGCTCTTTCTGTAACCTCCCTCTTCCATATTACCTCAAGAATAATATAAGAGGACTCAGCTTTAAACAGGAAGGAAATCCTGACACATCCTACAGCACAGATTTACACTGCAGAAAAAACGCTAAATGAAATATGCCAGACACAAAAAGACAAATACCGTAGGATTCCACTCATGTGAGGTATCCAAAGTACTCAAATTCATAGAGACAGAAAGAATGGCAGTCTCCAAAAGGGCTTTAAGAAGGGGGCAATGGAGACATATGTTTAATAGGTATACAGTTTCAGTTTTGCAAGAAAAAAAAGAGTTGCAGAACAATGTGAATATACTGAACTACATTACTGAACTACAAACTTTAAAAACAGTTAATGTGGTAAATTTCATGTTATGTGTATTTTAGTTCAATTAAAAATAATAATAAGTCAAGTGCAGTGGCACATACGTGTAATCCCAGTGGCTTGGGAGGCAGAGGCAGGAGGATAATAAGTTTAAAGCCAGCCTCAGCAAAAGTGAGGCACGAAACAACTCAGTGAGACCCTGTCTCTAAATAAAATACAAAATAGGACTGGGGATGTGGAATAATAATCATCATCATAATAATAATAATAATAATAAATGAGATCAAAGAGTCCTAAATTTATATTTGACCTTGATTAGTTCTTTACTCTTTTTCACTGACACTGAATTCCCTGAGTTCTAGAAACAAAAGCAACCATTCCCTTCTGGACAATCAATGCACTATAATTATGAGCTCATTCTTCCTTTTGTTTAAAAAAAAAMCCCACCAAAGTTGTAAAAGTTTTCCACACTGGAGAAAAAAGAAAAAGAGAAAATAGAATAAATTAGCACTCAACTATATAAGAAACAGCAAACTGTCTCATGAAAAAAATTAATGAAACACCTCAGTTTTGGCTACAGATCATAAAATATCTGAAGAGAACAGTTAGCCYTGAAAAGTTTTTGCTTCAAAATCTTTTTCTTATAAAGGGCTTGATGAACTTTTTCACAAAATAGTAATCTTGAAGCTAATAAATAGTCTCATTTTGAGGCAATGTAACTCAGTAGTTCCCAAATCAAACACTTAAAATCCTCTAAAATTAGAGTGGTCCCACTATAAGTCTATCAGAGCAAATGATCCAGCAGCAAAACAGGAACTATATGTTTTCTTTTATTTTTTAAATATTTATTTTTTAGTTATAGATAGACACAATATCTTCATTTTTATTTATTTATTTATTTTTTTTTTTGTGGTGCTGAGGATCAAACCCAGTACCTCATGCATGGTAGGCAAGCACTCTATCTCTGAGCCACAACCCCAGCCCAATTATATGTTTTCAAAGCCTCCAAGAATATTTTTGTGCATAGCCTATTTGGGGAAATCACTCAGTGATGAGCACTGGCTTCCTGAGTGCATGTTCTTATCTCTCTCCACCCTTTAATCTCTTTGAAATGATCGAACACAAAAGTATGAAAATGTCCATAGCAGTACTGGAAAATCAAGATGAGTTCTGTTGGTAAACTATACTAAATAATTTCTGGAGAATATAAAAGCAGATGGAATCAGTAAAACCCCAAATTGCTAAAGAGCCTGTAATGGACATTATTACATTATAATTAAGGGTCACTGGCAGAGCCTCAGAACATTCCCTTGATCAGAGATAGCAAGCATTAGGAGCAGATTTGGGTCCACTGTCCAGATAATTATTGAAGGTAACAATTTGCTACCTTTCCTCAGAGTGGCTGACTCCCAAACTGTCTTCAGGTTGAAAATAATAAGAGAAAATGACAGTGTGATAGGTAAGTTCTGTTGGCCAAGATGAATAAAGGAATCAACTCCCAGAAGACAAGTCTCTGGGGTACACATATTCTAAAGAGAAGTCTCACTACTGAGTAGACATCCTCCTCCCACCTTTCTCCCTACATCCTCTGCAGGCAGAGATTCTGCATTCAGAATTATTTGCATTCTCAAAGATTTTAGAACTTAAGTTGAAAAACAAATCTATCTATTAGTCCCTCATTTATAAATATGAATTGCCAGTCAAAACATTATAGAAATAAAGAACAAACTTTTCTTTTTGTTCATTTTTATTTTTTTTATTTTTTTTAAAGAAAGAGGGAGAGAGAGAGAGAGAACTTTTAATATTTATTTTTCAGTATTTGGCGGACACAGCATCTTTGTATGTGGTGCTGAGGATYGAACCCGGGCCGCACGCATGCCAGGCGAGCGCGCTACCACTTGAGCCACATCCCCAGCCCTCATTTTTAAAATAATATATCACTACAACTAAGTTTAACACTTCATTAACTGTATATATGTAAATATATATCATGTATAAACATACAAATGTATATATTAACTGTATTATAATTCTTTATTTATGTCTCTGTCTTCCTCATTAGATTATGAGTGTTCTGAGGATATTTAATCACTGGTTTTGTTGAGATACACAGATAGACATGGGCATGTCATTCAATCTCTAAATATATCTTGCATGCCTACTGATAGAACTAAGCACATTGTTATAATATCTGTAGGCAAGCATACAAAAGAGGTCTGTCTACCATGCTCACAATGAACTCTCCATTCAGTATAGGTACCTATTCATCCTATGTTGGAGCACTATAAACTCTATTGGGTGTCATTATATTTCATGATTTTCTGTATTTTCACAGGGTACCTAATAGTCGATGTGAATGGACCACTGAAAATCCAACAAATTAGTGAAAACCTAAGAAGTTCTAGAATAATTCAGTCAATTTATTTTTGTTCCCCCAAATGGTTACACATTTGGATGTTTTCATTTGTTGGATGCTATCTGAGGATTCTCTAGAGAAAAATCTTAAAATGTGTTAAGTTTGGGCTTTACACTGCTATTTCTACTCTTCTTGACTTATGTTATTTCTGGGCAACTGAACTATAAAACCTAGCAACTCTATTATGCCAGAACCTAATAAGGCAATGGGTCCCTGAAAATATATTACAATTGTCACTCCAGGTTATCTGCTCACTCAGCTATCTGAAATATTTGTGTCTTTAGTGAAGTTATAGAAATATTATCAAGGCTTGTGCTCTCTGATTTTCCCCCTTCAGGCCTAATTTATTCACTATACCATCTCCTGGACCACATGTGTCAGTAGGAACAGAAAAGAAACATACTTTGTGTCAAAAGCAGATCAGCTAGAAACACTAGAAGAAGGTATGAGACTATGCCAAAACATAGATAAAGTAATTAGTAAGAGAAAGAGAGCCTTGAAAGTGTTGACTCATTTATGTCTCAATTTCTTAAGAAATCATGCTTTATTTTAAAACTTACAAATWTTTAACCCATTAATATTTTTATTTTTTATAGATAGTGTCTTGCTGTGTTGCCTAGGCTATCCTCAGAATTGTGACCTTCCTGCAATCCTCAATCTCCAAAGCACCTGGGATTATAGGTGTGTACCATCATGCCTGACAAAAGAAAAAAACATTTATTTATGGTTCTGGGCTTCTACTGCTGGGTAGATAAAACTCCCTTCCGGATTTTGAGAAAAAAGTTACACACACACACACACACACACACACACACACACACACACAGTTAAAACCAACTCCCTACAGAGCTAGAAGTTTATAAGTGTAGAAGTTCTCTCCTAGAGACTTGGGAGCATCATGAACCTACAAACTCAAATTTATATCTCTGTTTAAATGGCTTCCTATATACAAGGCAAAAAGTAAGGTGAGTGATTATTTCTCTCACATCACAGTTGAAGAAATTTAATGGTTTGAAGTACCTTAAAAATATTTTCTCTTCTCTAAAGAGTTGTCAGTGCTTCAGGTAGAAATTCCATAAATGAAAATTGAGTGTTTCTGTCATTCTTTTTATTGAAAAGAAACCCTAYCTTGGCAAGAAAATCAAAAGGCAGATAGAATACTGCATTCAATAGAGGCTGAAAACAATATGAGAAGTCTATCAGAAAACTTTTACCATAGAAGAGGAAAAAAAAGATTAAGGGTATTTTTTGGAAATAATACCTCTACAAAGATCACCAACTTGAGATAATACCTGTCTTTCAGAGATAAAGTGCAGGGAAATGGTTTGTTTTAACACACGGATGACGGATGAGGAAAAAGGTGAACAGAAAAACAAAAACGAAACTACATTAATTTTTAATAACCAGATGCAAAGAATCAGAAAGAGATGTACTCTAAACTTTTGTATATTCTAATTTTCCCTCTTATAAGAGCAGGTTTAAAGAACAGCCTTAAAGTGAAACTAAAGAACTGGGGACAGTCATATTAGCCTAGTTCAAACAAAGTAGTTACAGGGAAGAAAAAGATGGAAAGAATTAGGGAAGAAGTAGTGGTCTTTCTGCATTGGAAAATCTTTATGCCTCAGTTTGAGTTTTGAAATTTGCTACATTGACCCTGAATAAGATATCACCACAATATAAAGAATGATGATACTTTAAAATCTGAAACACAAAATTTATGCATATATATATACTATCTCTTAACAGAATAAATTCTAAGTAGAGATACTAAGTTGGAAGGCAGGTATGGCCTAATTAACATGCAGCTCAGTGACAAATATAGCCTGCTTTATCAAAATTGCTTAGTAGCTATAGAAATTATAGATTATAATTTATGAAAGAAATTCTAATTCAACTGACTAATGCAGTGAATGTCAAACAAAGGACAATAAAGTATATATTGAAATTTCCATATACAAATGTTTTACTCAAGAATAACTAACTCTAAGATATAATTAAATAAAAAGCATATGCTATATCAATTTCATCATTGTAGCAATAGAGGCAATAATATACAAATGAGCTTCATTTTTCTGCAAAGAACTTTGTCATTAGATTGTCCTATCATTTTCAAATTTAAAATCTTCCTTGTCAATAAAATTCTCCAAGGCATTTACAATTTCAAATTAAAGTGTTCAAACCCACACAATCAAGTTATTAATAAATGACAAGTTGGGAGTTTTCACTTACCTAGATATATTATTGAAGCTGAGAAACAGACGTTGGAGGCAGGGCAAAGTATCCACATCTCTCTAGAAGGAAAGAGAAAGCAAAAATATATCAATTGAAAGAAAAAAACCTATTATAAATGCCTTCTTGCCCAGCTGTTGAAATATATAGTCATTTCTATTTCTTGCAACCTTGCTACACCATTGATTTCTACTGGACATTGAGCTCCATTCTTCTCCACTGCAGATTAAATGGGAGGGTTTCAGTACATCCGCAGAACAAGCTGCACCACTCGCAAGGTAAAAAGCACTGAAGAGAACAGAGAGAGAGAGAGATGCTGCAGCTAGCCTCTTTAAGCATGCTTTTGGGAAAGATGCCAAAATGCTACTTCAGCATTTACTGTAGCACAAACACAGAACGATCAGACATTTGTTAAAAGTCACTTTTAAAGGAAATCATTCAAAGCTTTATATTTTATATTTGTACAATTAGCCTTTCAAACAATAGTAAGAATTTCAGAGCTATTCACCTCATTATCTTTAAACCTTTGGAAATACACCACTCGGTTATAAATGAAACAATACAATACACTGACAATTCCCCCCATAAAACTGAAAGCAGGTCATAGTGTTATTGAAGGGCACTATAAGGGCAATTTCCAATCTAAGCACACATCAAAGGCTCTTGTGGTATGATCAAAAATTTGTTAAAAGCACATCACTGCCATTTAAATAGTTTCCCTCAGTAAATACTGAAATGCTTGGGCCCAAATAATTTTAAAAAATAAATACAAAATGAATACAARCAAAACTACCTAATTTCATTAAGCAAAAAGACACAAACCTTCTGAAATGAAATGGATACAGTAACAGAATTGTAAAGAGAAAGCTTAGTAATTACCTAATCTACAACCTCATAAATATGAGAAAAAGTGAACAGTTGAGGTTGTTTGTAGGAGCAGGAAAAGGCTGAATGGGAAGGTGAAACCCTCTACTGTCCTAGAGGCTGAGATAAGACAAGATTCCAGTTAACCTCAATTCCAGAGCTCTGATCTTTAGAACACTATAGTGCTACTTATCATATAAAATACTTTTCATTTTTAAGGATAGCATCATTTAAAATGATTCCTAGTTATATGAGCTATTTAAACTTTTCAGTAGCGGTACGTATACTCCTATCATCCCAGCCACTCAGGAGGCTAAGGCATGAGGATCATAAATTTGAAACTAGCATTGGAAATTTAGCAGGACTCTATCTCAAAATAAAACAAAAAGGACTGGGGATGTAKGTCAGTAATAAAGTGCTTTCCTATCGTGGGCAAGGCCCTGGGTTCAATCTCGAATACTGGGGGGGGGGGGTGGAAAACTTGTTTTATAGTTTCCAGAAGTGATTATCTTTCTTCCTCCCTATCATTTCCAAGACCTTAATAAGAGATTTGGTAAGTGCACTGAAATTATATGAGCTTAATTACCTTTACCCCAAATGCTGCATTTGTTTATTTTTAAAAACTTGTTATACAAAGAAAATATGAAAGTGATAGAATTGTGGCACGTTATTTCTTAATGATCACAGAATTTCCCCCAGTGGATAATAGGTTTTACATGTTGGCAAACTTCTTAAATCATTACTTCCAGCAACCTCTCTCTGACATTCCCCAAATGGAGGAATGAATAGTGGTAGGACTCATTTTTATCCACAGCCCTCTTTCCCACAGAAAATGGCAGCTTCCTTTTTAACTGGTCTCTAGAAATGTGTAAGCCAAACTATATGCCCTCCCTGTACTCTTGGGAACCTCTTTTCCCAAATTCTTTCTGAAATCTATTCCTGAGTATAAGCACCGTTGCTGATACCTAACTGGGAGAAACTGAGAAACTGTAGCCTAGATATCCTTTGAATCAAGTAATCTTTTTTAAAAATTATATTTGTTTCTTTGATCTCTGATATACTTCCTTCAGAGACTATAGACATAATTTTTGCAATTGAATTTTAATCCAAATTATATATATGATTTGTGAGAAAAGGTTTTTTAAAAAGTTTATTTGATAAAATTATAATGCTTTGAATTTATCTTCATTTACAAAACAAAATATTAGCAGAAGTCCTTATCAAATCTTCAAAATCAATAACTGTCATTACCTGATAGCTATATAAATATTCATAACAAACTGAAAACTAAAAATTAGAATTCAACTATATGTCCCTATAATCACATATAGTTTGCCTTTCCAGAAGTTTAAAAAGCAAACTAATTGCCCATAATTATTTTTCTTGTTAAAAATTTCACTTCTGTAAGAAAAGAGCTTTATTTTTTCTAGCAATTCTGAAACAATCATTTGTTAATGAAATTCTAGTACTATAATAGATAAAAAGAATGCCATATATATTGCATCAATTATCTATGTATAAATTCTTTCTAGAAAAAAAAAGACTTGCTAGAAACTACTAAAGATGGGTCCTCTAATATGAGAGAGTAAATCATAGAAGGGAAAAAAAATGTAAAATTCAGTCAGTAGGCTTCACCATCCTGGACAGGCAAAGAAAAATCTGAGAATGATGTGTGTATGGCYGGCCTGAGAGCCCCAGTCCACATCAGAGGTAGAGGACATAGGGCTCCAGAGGGAGAATCTCGAATGGGAAAATTTAGATTACCTAATATCTTTGTCTATACAGAGGGGGATTTTATTATACTGTTGGAAGCATGGATATTAATCAATGATAGCTAAACAGAATCCTCCATTAATGAGGAACATGAGATATTATTAATCCCAGGGAAAATGAAAGTTTAATACCATGAACTCTCACTTTAAAACTTCACCTTGCTGTATTCTCCAATCCTAATCTATATTATAAATTTATCAATTTTAATTAGGCTCTTACATTGAAAGACCCACCCTAAATTAGAATCTTAAGAAATCTCAAAATAAATGTCCTGCCTTTGTCCTCAAAGATATGACTAGATTACACCAAGGATTCTGCTTGAAGCTTGGCCTTATCAATGTTATTCTGGTGGTGAAACTATCATTCTTCAATCTGCTTATCACCAGAATGTAACATAATTATTTTAGGAAGATAGAGAAAGGAGAAATGGGGATTAAGGATTATGTAAGGAAGCTACATCTTTTTGTCAACATATTTATTTCACCATCAAGCATTAAACACTCCCAACATCACTTCTCCTTCTCCTTCTTTTTGTATTGTAGACAGACAGAATGCCTTTATTTTGTTTACTTTTATGTGGTGCTAAGGATCGAATCCAGTGCTTCACACATGCTAGGCAAGCACTTTGCCACTGTGCCACAATCCCAGCCTGCAATATTTCTCTTGTGGAGGTAAATATTTCACAGGCAGAGAAACTACTATAAAACAGTCAAACTGTTAACATCCCTAAGATGAGAAAAAAAGAAGATGAAATAAAATGTTTACATATAAGGTAGCATTTATAGGGGAATATTTATAGCTCCTATTATTAATCCTATTAAAATTGTCAATTTTTTTGCATTTTAGCAAAAGGATACTGAAAAATCACATTGAAAATATTTTTTGAAGTAAGACTTAGAGCCATTTTATTTATTTTCAAAACATAATCCTTTTAAAAATAGACTTAAATAAAAATTATTTGCTATAAGGTTGTTGCGAAGATTTTAATTCTTTAATTTTCAGGAGAATAATGATTGCCATCTGAGGAACACGTTTGTCTAGTCTGCTTAGACACTGTTTTCCATATTCCTAAACTTTGTAAATGAACTAAATGACTCAGCAATTTGACCATGTGTGGAACATCTATTACTAGAGCTATTTTTAGAATAGCTCCTGCAGAGGAATAAGGAAGAAGCAAGGTGAAAAGACATGGGCATACACCAAACAGGATAAAAATGGCTATCAGAAAATCATAAGTAAAAAAAGAAAAAAGAAAATCATAAGTACTCTAATTTTTTATACAAAAAAAAGACAAGAGTAAAAATACATAGRGGTAATTATTTTAATTTTAAGAACCATAAACAGATTCTTTTTTTTTTAAAGAGAGAGAGAAAGAATTTTAATATTTGGTTTTTTTTTTAGTTTTCGGCGGACACAACATCTTTGTTTGAATGTGGTGCTGAGGATCGAACCCAGGCTGCATGCATGCCAGGCAAGCACGATACCACTTGAGCCACACTCCCAGCCCCATAAACAGATTCTTAACCTGAAAACAGAAAAAAGTATTTCTTTTCATAAAAAGATTTATTAAATTAATTCCAAGATAACTGCTTGCTCTAGTCATTACTTTGCAACACAAGCACATATGAGATGAAGAATAAAAACTGTAAGCCATCTTTTCAACTATTCTATTCATACTTTTAAATGCCAATGAAAAAAATCCACTGTCTGCCCCTGTTACCCAAAGGCATTAATGGGCTTCTCTGTGTTTTGTACTTCTCTGCTTTTTGTACTATTACATGGAAGTGCATATCAGTCAACCCAGCTGTATCCTATTCTTCTAATCTGATTTTCTTCTATACATGGTTGTAATCCCTGAAGAAAAATTAAAGGGGAACTAAAAAGAAGACTAGTAAGCAGGCACTGATACACTGAATAGGAAGATTTTCAGTCTTTATAATCCAGGACAGCTAATTTGAACAGTTATGAGAAAAGAGATTTTTTTAAAAGCCTCAATTTAATAATAATAAGCCTTCTCCACTTGAATTTGTAGTTTGAATTTATATTATGGGAATGATCTAAGAAAAATCCCTTRCAAAATGATGGAACCCAAGCATTTATGTCTCTAAGACTTCTAGTAAAACTGTTTGGAAAGACACAAACTCAGGTTTTGCAGTCTTCTGACTACCCCAAACTACTGACCTATAAAAAAAATTACCATGAGCAATATTCAGCAGAAATTTTAGGCATCAAATGCAGAACTGCCAAAAAATTAAAAGAATATAATTATCCAGTAAGGACTATGGGATATCTATATTTAAAATTATTAAATACATGAAAGAAACCAAAACATGAGAAAAAATAAGGCACCAGAACTAAATAAATCAGGGCACTTACAAAAAAAATCAATGCAAAACTTTTAGAAACAAAAAAATTGGTCATTATT